GACTCTAGATCCAATGTGTCTTTTTCCCGTGAAACTGAGCCAGAAATTGCAGTTCCCAGATGCAAAATGTAATCCAGTTGGATTGCGTTTCGCAAAAAGGAATCGAGAGCATTCCTATGCTGCCAGAATTGCGCAACTTACACTCTTTGCAAAAAGTTACTGAAATCATGCAGAAAATGTAATTTACGAAGGTAATTTTCGTCTTGAATTTATAGTTTATCGGGAGTGCAGATTAAACTTATTTAGATGACCAGTTTATCGAGGTAAAAAAAGTTGCACAATCTTAGCAACATCGGAATGCTCTCGGTTCCTTTTTGCCAAATGCAGTCTAATTGCAATGCGCGGAAGTCATTAGTTACATCTCGGCGAGAACAAAAGTTTCAGTCAATTTAAAAGTTGGCAAAGGGAGCCCAAATCAGAAAATTTAAATATTTCTCAAAAGTTTCTCAAAGGCTGGATATCTCGGCGAAGGATTCCATTTGATAATGTTTTCGACTAGTTAAGATGATAACGATGATTTGCAACGCAACCGGGAGTGGAACGGAGTGCCTTTCCGTTTCGTCGAGAATAAAATCAACAAAGAAAACGAGCAACTGCACTTTGTAAGTCAATAGAACAACAAATCTAAGACTATTAACTTCCTCGAATCCCAGGCTCAGGCTGTTTGTTTTATGGTACATTAAATCCAACTCGCAGCAGCGCTCCTCTCTGTTTGTCGTCAAAGCAAAACGTCCCCAAGAAAATACTGTCAAGTTATGAGCATCCTCAGAGAGTCACGAGTCGAAAATTATATTTAAGAGTCGCTTGTTCTTCGGCGCTTCTTTGGAGCCAATTTGCGAAATGGACCAACAGACAAGGTGCGACATTGAGAATTCTGAAGCGTGTCTCCTGCGGGCTGATTGTTGAAATTGATAGACAAAGCAATAGACAAAAAAGACATGAGGAGTATGGAGCGATCCTATCGGATGAAATGGGTGGTTCTTACAGACTAGGCGGGTCAATGATGGAAAACTAAAGGGTCTCTCGTGAGTTACCGTTTGTTAATCGATTACCAGACCTACGTCCTTTGTCCATTGCAACCACCCGTTTCCACCAATAGGATCTCTCCATTTCATTTTTGTCCTCTTTGTCTATCGCATTGTCTATCGATTTCAGCAATCAGTTCGCAATAGATTGTTTCTTTCCATGGGCGGAATGCTCGAATCCACCCATCGAAACACAGTTAATTACCCTTGTTAAAGGTTGATTTTTGTAATTTTCTTTGCCCGAATCATATTGAACGTGAAATTTTGATCAGGAAACATGTATTGGATAGCTTAAATTCGCAACTTGTCCGCTGATAAATTGGGTGCTTGTAAGGGTGTGTGCACACTCAGCAAAAAATAAGGAAAAGTTATATGTACTGTCGCAAGTCCCTTTTCCCATGGATAGTCACATATCGTCGCGCCTCTAACGTAAGGGCGCAACTCAATTTCCATTTGGGCCCTGTCTTTCGTATAACCCTATACTTTCTGGGGCTTATGCGAAAACGGAGATACGCCCTTACGTCAGAAAAGCTAAGATTTGTTTGTTTTCCCGATCAATTGAGTGTGTCTTTTAAGGATCGAAATTCTCCTCCGCGAATTTGCAGTCCAGCAATGTCTTTGGCTGCCAGTTAATTTCTGTCATTATTGTCATTACCAATGCAATCGATTGACATTGGCCGGTCGGTTCGGAGTATACCGCGCTATTACCACGGTCAGGGTTATTCTAATGAGGTCATTTTACTGCAGGCGGTCTCTCATCTGAGGTCACTGGAGGTCACCGATTGTTGGTCAGTTTTATATTCGAAGGGAATTGCATTTTACTGTCAGTTTTTTTAAGGAATTTCAGAGGAAAGATACCTATCCTAGGAAATGTTCCTAATTTTCCCTAAAGTAATGCGTAACGCATTATGTGCACGGTACGATCAATATATTTCAAATCTTAATTAAACTGGTGGATTATTTTAGGAAACTCGAAATTTTAATCTGTAGAGCAATCATTAAGGTTAGAACTCGAGGTTAGAATTGACGCTGTGTGAAATACAGCGTGAAGAAATGGTAAATTCTACCAATCTTTTTATTCAGTGTACGGAAAAAGGTGATTCTCATCGACAACGAAGTTCACGTTGAAAGTGTGTATCCGGGAAGCGTTGGTGTTGGTGGCATCTGAGACGCTATCTCGCTTACAAACGAACGCTTTATTAAGCCCCTCAATGTCTTCGCGTTAATGATCGGTTCCTATTAGCGTCGAGACGATGCGATCTCCTCTCAACATAATCCAATTAATTATCTCGCTGCTTTCGAACCGTTAGCAGTCGAGCATCGTAACTGTGTAATAGCGGGGGGTCTCTCCCGGCCCAACCCCAAACGGGCCAGTCCCCCGTTGCCGCCATATAAACCTGCGCAGGGTCATGATTCAGAAAATTATGAATAGCGGAATCATCTTGAGCAGGAGCGTGGCGTGCTTCGCGATATATCGATCCATCTGCCTTTTAATCCCATGGAAAAGGATCGATAAACAGGGTTCTCGCAGCGAACACCTGAATAATCGATTCTTTACCATAGCTACAAATGAGGAAATATCGATCATCGATAACTCACGCCACGCCACTGCGTTCTACGTACTTCTATTCAACATAAATGCATCCAATTCAACAGTATGACTTCAGTGGTACATCGTTGCGGGTACAATTTTTCATTGCAAAAAATGAATAAATAGGTATGAAAAATTCCTAAGATTTTGATAATCTTTGATGTCGGGACAACCTACCTAAAAATTTCCAAAATCTAAAAAAAAAAAATTATTTTGCATTTAGAATTTTTTGGAGTGGTAAATCATTCTTATCAAAGTTATACTGCTGAATATTGGACTCGAGATTCACTGAAATTGTCCTTTCTATGATTTCATGTATAGGGTCTTTATAAACATCTCTTCATCACTATGTAAACCATTTGGAGTCTTCTAACGAAATGAACTGTTTTTACTGAAAGACTATGAGTACAGACCTTAGCAACAACAGAAAAATCATTGAGAATAGCCTCAAAAATAAATATGGAAAAAAAAATCCGAATATTTGGGGGAGATATGGTTTTAAACTTCTTGTATTTACTTTCTCGCTTTCCTTGCGGGTAGAAGAAGTATTGTCATCATAAAAAAGAGGGGAAAAAATCATTTCTTTTACGCCCGGCACCTTTGACTCTAAATCCACCATTTAAGTGATTTTGATCTCAAGAAAAAGAATTCTTAACTTTAACACGTCCAGAATGTTTGTAGTAACAAGAATGTCAAATTACTAAATAATACGTTATTGAAGATTCTAACTGCTGACTATACTTCTTTTCGTTTCAAGTACCGAGTCAGCCTTATTTTTCACCAAAATGTCCCAAATTGCCATGGTCTCTTTGTTTCCCACATCACAGAATCCATCACATTGATTAAAAAACTCTGAACCCAACCCCGGTAGCTGTATACCGGCTACTGTCATTTTTCAACTGTAGAAACCCGAAACTTGGACAAAATTCATTTTTTTAATGTCTAACATCGAAAATTATTGTTGAACCTTCTTTTCGCAAAATATCTGTGCTCAACAATCCACAATAAATAAAAAAAAATAATATTATTTGCTTGTAATTATTTTGACTGGTTAAACGATTCGCCGGCTGGATCCTAAGCAGGATTTCCTAACTGGTTTTATGAAAATAAAACAAAATAAAATAAAAAAAACGCTATGTGTAACCGCGAAAGAAATCGGTGAAATTGTCGTATTCAAGTTTGACAGTCCTGAGGTCGTGACTGGAATATCACTTTGAATATCCATGGCAAACATCAAAAATGAAGATAACAAGGCATTTTAGCCTCGGGAATAAGAGCTAACAGTCCATGCGTCGAGACTAGAATACCGTAGGAAAGAATCCTTCGCGAGCACCGAAGATTCTTCCAAAATTTTCTCAGGAACTTCGAAAAATTCCGAGCACAATCGGTGAAAAGCGGCGTCACAAAGCGTCCAGGGCACAAACACACACGGTAGCACAAAACACAGAAATTATAATACACACTGCTAATAATTGTCAAACTCGCTCCCGGTTAATTTAGGGAACACCACACCGAACAACTTCAGGGTTCTCAGTGACCGAAAATATACTTGAAATGTCGATGGTTCACGGATCTGACAAGACGAAAATCCAAATTATTAGTTGCCTGAACCGTTCAATACTTAATTCTGCTTTTTTCATCCTTGTGCGAACACTGGAAGGATCCAGGGGAAAAAACAGGCAATTTAGAATCCAGAGATTCTAGTTTGGCTTAACGAAAATCTGAATTTTTTGGTCGTCCAAACGGTTTTAATTTTGACTGTTTTTTCCTTGTGCGAGCACAAAAAATTCGGACAATCTGAACTGCAGAAACTTCATTGTTTGATAGTTCTGATAACACACAATTTTTTTTTTTTTTCACCTGATCCTGCCTGGTTTTAATCCTCGTGTGAACACTGTCAGAATCCGAGAAAATCCGAGAAATTTAGAAATTTCAGTATCTCAAAGTTCCACACAAAATTCTAAAATTTTGACTTCATTTCACCTGTTTTTATCCTCGTTTGAACACTGGAAAACCCCGAGGAAAAAACACAGGGAACCCGGAATTCAAAATTTTCGGTACCTCATAGTTCTGACCACACAAAATGCTAAATTTTCAACTTCATTCTGCCTGCTTTCATCCTCGTGAGAACACTTGAAAACCTCGAGGAAAAAAACACAGGGAATCCGGAATCCTGAAATTTCAGTATTTTACGTTTCTAGCAACACGAAATTCTAAATTTTCGACTTAGTCCTGCCTATTTCCATCCTCGTGAGAACACTGAAGCAATCCTGAGGGAAAACACAGTAGAAACACAGAACCCTGAATTCGAAACCGGGGGTTGTCCTTTGGTGAACCGGGAGGGAGTTTCACTTGATTTTGGTGTAATGAAGAGGAGATCCTACCTGAATTTGTTTAAGGGCGGTTTAACGGAAAGAGATAACACTGTAAACACGACGGGGGGATGCGGTGCGGAGCGCGAGACGAACTGAACACGACGGGGTCGGGAGCTTGGGTCGGAGTGAGCTGCGGGATGGATGCGACTTCGGATCCTCTCTTTTATAGTTTCGGATCTGACCCGCGCCAGCGTCGGGGGGCGGGGCCGCCGCCGCCGCCGCCGCCACCACCGGCGTCGTTGCCGGCTCCCCCGCCCGCCGCAGCCACCGCGTCCCGGCGCCCCAGCAGCATCCCAACCCGCTGGACCCGGCCAACGGGAACCCGGGGATAGGTACTCGCCCGTTGGTCCAGGGATGCAGAGGCAGGGTGTCTACAAGTCCGGAATTTTCGGAAAGTCCGGAAATAGTACTGATTTTCTAGGGGCGGTCCGGAAGTACTGAAAAAGTACGGAAATTCCGCAGAAAGGTCCGGAATTTTTTTTTAATTTTATGTAATTTTTGTCGCAATTTCAAATTTTTCGAATTTCGTCAAATGGAGGTACTGTAAAAGTACGGAATTTTTCTGTTGGAGGTGGCACTGAATTTCTTGATAAGATACTAAAACAAGTACCGTAAAAGTAATTATTTTTGTCCAGCCTGTTTTTTAGTAAACACCCTGCAGAGGACTCCAAGTCCACGCAAATCATGTTTTCCGTTGAATTTTGAAGGGGAGCCGTGTTTCCGAATGTGGCGAATCTCGCCCCTAGATCACGTACAGGGTTATTCAAAAGTCACGCACCACTGGCCATGAGGGGGGTGGCCATTCGAAATTTTTGAGTTGCCCCCCGCCTCCCTCTCCTCGAGGGGATCAAAAACTGGAAGAAAGACAACAAATGAAGAACTAAGTGCATAAGGAGGTGAAAAGTCTGCTTGAAAACCTAAAAAAATGACTAATAGTGTCCAATCGTGCGCAGGTGAAACTCTCTGGCTCTGAGATTTTCCGTTGCCTGTCAACTTCAAATCACGCTCCTAGCTCTAAATCACAGATTATTCACTCCTTTTCTTTCTCAAAAATAATGAAGATGAGCCTTGTTACTTAGCAATACTACTCGTAATACCAGTGGAGTCAAATCGCCTTCAATGATTTGCTACGCAACACGGACAATCGTAGAGCACGAATAGTTGTATCCATTGATGTATAGCAATAGACCACTATACACTGTACAAATTAAAGCATTCTGACAAATGTTTTTTCATAAAAATTTCTGGGAAAACACAATCTACGGAAGAAGAATTACTGAAATTAGCTCCCAACCAATATATTTACATATTTATTTTGCATGAGCTATGAAAAATACGAATTACCCGCTCTTATGAAAAACCAGAGTCTACTAGAATCAAACCGCGCACTTAACGGTTTTACGATACTCCTCAATGAGCCAGTGTTCCTTCCTCACCCTGTGTGGTACACGGACTTGATGTCCACTTTTTTTTACGTCCACAGACTTTTCGTCCACAATTTTTACGTCCACAGTTCTAAAGCCCACACTATTGTTAAGTCCATCACTTAAACGTCCACTAAGTTAAGTCCACAAATGTAAAGTCCACTAAAATCAAATTCAAGCGTCATATTTTAGTCCGTGTGTTAAATTATATTGACAATATCGAAATGAGAAAATTAAGAGATAATGAGGTGTTGTTATCGTAACTCATATTTTAAATGAAATGTTAATTTCTTTTTTTGATTCATCTTTTCAAATTGTCAAATTTTTTGTTTTTAACTTATTTGTACATCGACTTTCTTGGGTCAAATAGTCCAATTTTGAGCGTTTAGTTGCGCTTACACTACGCTGCAGCACAGTCAAAGCCCAAAACATAAAATAATCAATTTGAATGCTTTGGAAATCATTAAATTTGACACGGAACGACTGTTATATTTACAAAAAACGCATTATATTTTCCAGTAGTACTTATTTCTTTTTCATCAGTTTAAAAGGGAATAATCAATGCAGAGAGTGCAAACATTTCAAAATCATGAATTGAAAAACGCTGACTCCGCGAGTTTAAATATTAGAGCCTAACACAGAGCGGAGCGGCGTGTTAGCAGCGCAGAACGCGCACTGACGCCTACAAACCTAACGGGATACTTCACGCATTGCGCAAAGCGTGAAGTATTCCGTTAGGTTTGTAGGCGCCTGTGCGCGTTCTGCGCTGGTTGCTTGCCGCGCCGCGACGCATTATGCAACTATTTTGCGTCAGAGGCGTTGCACAGTGTCTTACAAGATTGAAGGCGCACGAAATAACTAGTTAAAGAGGACTTTCAATTTTGACGGCATCTGTTACTGAAAAATGTTTATTTGGCATTGGAGCGTTTCCTAGGCCCCTGCTTTGGTTTTCATCTTATCATATCCGTACAGTGTACACATGAACATGTGTTTTTATCTGCTCTTAGAGTCTGTTTTCTTTCATGACTTGATTCATGAATGGAATGTTTTTTTTTGGCCATAACTCGGCTTCCGGCTCAAACAGCTAGAGCTGCGGCGCGAAATTTGAATTTCAACAACTTTGCAATCTTAGCCGAAACAAATACGAACAACTCCTGCGGGCTGATTATTGAAATTTATAGACAAAGCAATAGACAAAGAAGAAGGTATGGATGGATGCTATTGGTAGAATCGGGTGATTGCAATGGACAAAGGAGGTAGGTAATAGACTAACAAACGGCAACCCACGAGGGACCCGATAGTTAGTCCATCATTTACCCCCTTTGTCTATTAGAACCACCCCTTTCAACCAATAGGATCGCTCCTTACTCCCTATGTCTCCTTTGTCTATAGCTTTGTCTATCATTTTCAATAATCGGCCCGCTAACTTGAGAAACGACGCTTTGTCTTCTCGCTTGGATCCACCCTCGCCGGGGCCGGCAACGTCGGGAAAGCTCCAAGTTGGAAGCCCGGAGCCGCGCAACTTTGAAATCTCGGCGACGGAGCGTCTTGCCAGGAGCTGCGGCACCGCGTCTTCCGCTCCGCCTCCAGGAGCCTCTTGCAATGCTGCCAAATTACTCGCAAAATAATTCTATTCTCAACCACTTACTGGGCTTGCTTTCGCGCCAAAGTCTCCCCCCAACGGCGCCTCTCAACCCTGCCAATGGAGATGTTGCTTGTGTGAGGAATTTGCGATTTGACTGTTGATTTATAAGTAAAAGTTCGCGAGAAACACGATGGTGCCACTGGTTTCCTCTGAGATCAACTCCCAAGCTCAAAAAAAGCTCTCAAGTTGAGGCCAAAATGGAGGGGATATCCCACGCTATCTTGAGAGTCCACCTCTACATCAAGGCAAACTCTCCGTCCGAAGATAGGGAGCAAATACATTAGCAGGGTTGCCGTGTTTTCAGTTTTAGAGTCCCCAAATAAAGTGGCAGCCCTGTCGATGTATTTGCTCTCTATCTTTGCATGGAGATTTTGTCTTGATGTAGAGGTGGACTCACAGGGTAGCGTGGGGTATCCCCTCCATTTTGGCCTCAATTTGAAAGCTTTTTTTTGAGCTTGGGGGTTGATTTCAGAGAATACCAGTGACAATCAACAACTTTCTCACGAAAAAAACCAGGAAATTTCGCGGAAAATTGGCATCGTCGGGCACTCGTCCGCGCATTCTTTCCCGCTCACCCCCTTCAATAAAAGCGGTGACGAGCTTTTAGCCGGCTGCGCCCTTCGCGCCCCTCGGCTCCCGCGTCGTCGCCAGCTTAATTGCCCCGGGATCCCGCGCGCGGGAAAATTATGAGCCGGGTGAAAGTTTTTTCGGTCCTTTCACCCTCCCCCCTCCGGCCCGCACCCCCGGTTCCTCCGGTCTCCGCGCCCGGAGGAAGCGAGGGTGCGCCGGAAGAGGCGAGGCGGGGAGTGGGGGGGGGGCGTCGTAAACGCAATCAGCGACGGATTTGTCGTTATTATTTCGGGCGCGCGGATTTACACACCGTGAAGCTAACGGAAAACACCGTATCAACTCACCCGTGTTGCCAAATTCAACGCATTCGTGATTTTTGAAACATGTTCCGTCATGAATCCACGATTAAAGTTCAATCGGACACTGGAAAAAAAAACACATTGGATCTAGAGTCCAGATTCTTAAAAACATCGACGAAAAAAAAATGTCTTGATTCAATAAGATTTAAGCTTAAATCAAAAGGAAATCCGCCCAAATTAAGAGGCTTGGTTCTTGATTTAAGCTTAAATCTGATTGAATCAAGAGTCCTTTTGCTTGTCAATGTTTTCAAGAGTCTGGACTCTAGATACAATGTGTTTTTTTTCCAGTGTGGGATAGTCAGAGATAGAGGTTCCTTCTTGCAAAATGTAATCCAAATAACCATTTGATTAGGTAAATCTCACGGAGAAACCTGCTCCTCTGCGTAAGGGATCCGTTTGTCGCCTAAATTTTAAAGCGACATCAAGTATTTTAGCATGATCTGTTCGATATCTGATGTCAGCTTACTCCGGAAATAGGTTCACCTAAATCGAACGTGTCTGGACATTTCGAAGGAAAATATTTATAACTTCTCTGAACAATAAATGTTTTATTATAAGAAATTTTGCAACAATCGAATGTTCGTACGGCGTTTTTCTTTCGGCACGACAGAGCTTTTCAACGTGGCTCCTTCGTAACTGTATTCTGAGGCGAGTTTTACAGTCCGTTTCATTCTATGTGTTCCAGGGCTCAAGTGAAAATTGAATCACGTCCTTGCGTCGAAGGGGTCGTATATGAAAGGTGGCTCTCACAGCTTATTTTCCGGATGCTGTTTGAGGAAGATTTGTGATTTTTTGGAGAAAACAATCTTGCGGAGAATGTTGATGTCGTTAGGGTATATCAACATTCGAACGTTGCTAAATCGCACCCGATGAAATTTTTAGTTTTGAGGAAAGTCGTGAATATTGAAGCGCACCGTTGCAAACCATTTCCCTGCCTAAAATTTTGCGATCAGTATAATTTCAACGAAATGAATAATAATTATATTCGAATAACTGTAATATAATGTTTAATTCAAAGAACGAGAAGGCCTGCATGTTTATGTTTTCTCGTGAATTTCCCGTTTTTAAGCAAAGAAGCGGAGACTCATTTCAAGCAGCTGAAGACATTTTGGTTACTCCTCAGTAAGTATTAACCAGATTCTGCAGAATTTTTAA